TGATTATATGCATACAATGATTAGAGGCTGTTATATAGGGTAAACCCTTATCATTTTATTCTCTATGATATAAAATTCAGATTTTCTACTTTGGTACAATTTTAACAGCTTTTAGTCATTGTATACTATTCTTTAACTTTTAAAAACAATTCATATAAAAAATTAGAGCAGATAGTACAGTTTTCTTGTACCTCTCCTCAAACATGCCTGTGTTTGCACGCATGCACACACACACACACACGCCTTTCTGCTATTGTTATCTTCAGATTATGACACAGTACTGATGCGTTATTGCAAATAAAATTCATAGTTTACATTGAAGTTCACACTCTTGTTAAATCTACATTTTTAACAAATGCATAATGTTATATATCCATAATTTTAACATTATACAGAATAGTTTCAACACCCAAAATTGCTCTGGTTAGGCCTTCTAGTACTTTGTTGAATAGCAGTTGTGAGAGTGGGCATCCTTATCTTGTTACAGTTCTTAAGCAGAATGTTTCCAGCATTTGCACATTTAGTGTGATGTTGGCTGTGTGTTTGTCATAGATGGCCCTTATTATTTTTATGGATGTATTATTTTTATGTGTGTTCCTCTGATGCCTCATCCGTCGAAGGTTTTTATCGTGAAGGGATGTTGGATTTATTGAAATCTTTTTCTGTGTCTGTTGAGATTATCATATCATTTTTGCTTTTAATTCTGTTTATGGAGTAAATTGCATTTAGTGATTAACATGTATTGAACCAGCCTTGCATCCTAGGAATAAAACCTGCTTAATCATGGTGTATTAACTTTTTGATATGCTGCTGGAGTCAGTGTGATATTCATTGAAGATTTTTATGTCTATGTTCTTTAGGATTATTGGCCTGAAGTTTATTTTTTTTCCATGATATTTCTGCCAGATTTTGGTATCAGGCTGTTGCTGGCTTCATAGAATGAGTTCGAGAGCAGCCCCTCCTCCTTGAATTTTTGGAATAGCTGCAGTAAGATTGGTACCCATTCTTTGTATGTTGGTAGAAATTGGTTGTGAATTTGTCTGGTCCAGGGATTTTTGTGGTTGACAGGTTTTTATTACCAATTCAATTTCAGAACTTATTGGTCTATTCAGGGTTTTACTTTGTTCTTGATTTAATTCTGAGGAGATGTTTGTTTCCAAGAATGTATCTATTTCCTCTAAATTTTCTAACTTGTATGCACAGAGTTGTTCATAATAGTCTCTTAGGGTCCTTTGTATTTCAGTGAGCTTGATTACAATGTCATTTTTGTCTTTTCTAACTGTACTTACTTGGATCTTCTTTTTTTCATTTTCTTTGTTAATCTAGCTAGAGGTTTATCAATCTTGTTTAATATTTTGAACACCCAACTCTTGGTTTTGTTGATCTTTTGATGGATTTTTACACCACAATTTTTTTCAGTTCTCATCTAATTTTAGTTATTTCTTCTCTTCTGCTAGCTTTGGTGTAGAGTTGTTATATTTTTCTAGTTCCTGTAGGTGTAGTGTTAGGTTGTTAATTTGACATCTTTCTAACTTATTCATGAAGGCATTTAGCACTATAAACTTTTAATAGTTTTAGTTGCATCCCCAAAATATTGGTAAGCTGTGTTCCTGTTTTTATTAATTTGTTGATTCTGCCTTAATTTCATGGTTCATCCAGGAATTATTGGAGAGTAAGTTTCAAAATTTCCATATATTTATGTAATTTAAAGAGATCTTCTTGATACTAACTTTATTTTTAAGGCAACATGGTCCAAGAAGGTACTTGTCATGATTTTATTTTATTTTGTAATTTACTGAGACTTACGTTTATGACCAAGCATGATATTAGAATATGATCAGTGTGAAGATAAGAAGAATGTATATTTTGTGGCTCTTGAGTATAGTGTTCTGTAGATGTCAATTAGGTCCAATTGGTTGAGTATCAAATTTAGTCCATAATTTCTTTGTTAGTTTTCTCCATTAATAATCTGTCCAATACTGTCTGGAAGATTTTGAAGCCTCCCACTATTATTGTGAGGCTACATCTCTTTGTAGGTCAAGAATGACTTATTTTATGAATCTGGGTGTTTCAATATTGGGTTCATATATATTTAGGATAATTAAGTATTCTTGTTTAATTGAACCCTTTATTATCAGTAATTCTCTTCTTTTCCTTCTTAATTGTTGTTGGTTTAAATTCTGTTGCATCTGATGTAGGAATAGTGACACCTATTCTTTTTTTTCTTTTCTTTTCATTTGCATGTAAATCTTTCTCCATCTTTTTTATTTTGAGGCTACGGGTGTTGTTACATGTGGGATGGGTCTCTTAAAGACAGTGAACAGATGGCTCTTATATTTTTATCCAGCTTGACACTCTATGCCTTTTAAGTGAGGTGTTTAGAACATTTACATTCAAGGTTAGTATCGGTATGTGTGATTTTTATTGTGTCATTTTGTTGTTACCTGGTTGTTATGTGCACTTGCTTGCTTATAATGCCTGTCTGAAAATAGTCCCCAACTATTATTGTGAAGCTATATCTCTTTGTAGGTCAAGAAGGACATATTTTATAAATCTGGTTGTTCTAATGTTGGGTACATATATATTTTAATTCTAAGTAAGGTGTTTAGCCTGTTTACATTCAAGATTAGTATTGGTATATGTGATTTTGATTCTGTCATTGTGTTGTTACCAGGTTGTTATGTAGACTTGCTTGCTTATAGTGCCTGTCTGCTATGTGCTTACCTATGTTTTGGTGGTAGTATCATATTTTTTTTTGTGGGAGGGATATGTTTAGTACTCCTTTAAGGACCTCATGTAAGGCTAGCCTAGTTGTAACAAATTCCATCAGAATTTGCTTGTCCGAGAAAAATTTTATTTCTCCTTCACTTATGAAGCTTAGATTAATGGGATATGAAAATCTTGGTTGAAATTTATTTTCTTTAATGATTCTGAAAATAGGGCCCCAATCTCTTCTGGCTTGCAATGTTTCTGCTGAGAGGTCTATTGCTGGTCTGATTGGGTTTCTTTTGTATATGATTTGACCTTTCTTTCCAGCTAGCTTGAAGATGCTTTCTTTAGCATTGAGTTTGGTGCATCTAATGACTATGTTTCTCAGGGATGGTTTTCTTGTATAGTATCTTGCCAGAGTTTTCTCCATTTCTTTGAATTTCTATGTCAACCTCTTTAGTGACATTAGGGAAATTTTTATGGGTTATATCCTCAAATATGTTTTTTTAAGTTTATTACTCTCTCTCCTCTCTCAGGAATATCAATAAATCAGGTTTGACTTTTTTTTTTTAACATAATCTCTACTTCTTGGAGATTTTATCCATTTAAAAATATATTTTTTTGTATGATTGAGTTGACTTGAAGGATTGATCTTCAGGCTCTAAGATTCATTTTCCAGCTTGGTTTATTCTGATGTTAATACTTCCAACTCTTTTATGAAGTTCTTCCAGTGCATATTTCAATTCTAGAATTTCAGTTCAGTTCTTTTTTAAAATGGCTATGTCATCCTTCAGCTCCTGCATCATTTTACAGAATTCTTTGTCCTTCTTTGAGTTTTAACTGACCCCTGAATCTTGATAATCTTCCTTGCCATCCAGATTGTGCTTTTTTTTTTTTTTTTTTTTTTTTTCCTGACACTCTTGCTCAGTCACCCAGGCTGGAGTGCAGTGGTGGGATCTCAGCTCACTGCAAGCTCCGCCTCCCGGGTTCATGCCATTCTCCTGCCTCAGCCTCCTGAGTAGCTGGGATTACAGGCACCCGCCACCACGCCCGGCTAATTTTTTGTATTTTTAGTAGAGACGGGGCTTCACCATGTTAGCCAGGATGGTCTCAATCTCCTGACCTTGTGATGCACCTGCCTTGGCCTCCCAAAGTGTTGGGATTACAGGCATGAGCCACTGCACCTGGCCCAGATTCTGCATTCTGTATTTGTCATTTCATTAGTTTCATTCTGGTTAAGAACCACTGTTGAGGAGCTAGTGGACTTGTTTGGAGGCAAGGCGACACTCTGGTTTTTTGAATTCCCAGTGTTCTTGCACTGATTTTTTTTTTTTTTTTTCTCATCTGAGAGGGCTTGTCTTTAGAGGTAGTGTAAATTGAATATAGTCAATTGGCTTCATTTTAGATGCTTTCAGATGGCCAAGGCTATGTACAGGATCTTTATTTGTGACTAATCTCTTGCCCTTGGTTTCATAGGGATATATATTTGTTTGGACTTTAATTCAGTAGATGCTTATTAAGAGTAATGACTGGCATGTAGGCACTTACCAAGCCATGCACCCTTTTTTTGTATTTCCCCACGTTCACAGCCATGCTCCCTTCCCTCAGAGCCGTTCAGGACCAGGAACTATTCCTAGCATTTGGCATATATGTGCAGGAGTGCCAGCTTCCTCTCTCTTCAGTCTCAATTTCTGTGCTGCCTCACTATTGACACTTGGTGTTTTATCTCCAGAGATCTGCTTAAAGTATGTTGGTGTATTCAATATTCTGTTATCTTTCAGTGGAAGTAGAACTTCCTGGCTGGATCTAGTCAGCTACCTTTGCCCTCATTTCCCAATACTCATTTTTAAGTTTCAAAGGAGGTAAAACATTCCCTGGATTCCAGAGTAACCAAGCATCCTTCCTACAGATATCCCAGTACACCTGTAAGACATAGGATGACAGAGGATGTGATGGAGCCATCTGGGAGCTCCTGAAACTGGTGAGACAGAGTAGTAGATATGGGCCAAAATATTGTTTTTAATTTTTTCATGAAACTTCTGTGATCCATGTGTTATTTAGAAATGTGTTAACTCAGCACCATGAGGTTTTCCTGCTATCTTTCTATGGCTGAGTTCTGGTTTAATTGCATCGCGATCTGTTAGGTAGATTCACTGTGCACTGGTTACTGTTGTAACCCACTGCATCTTGAATTGCACTTTTACTACTTGCCCAAGTCCAGTAAGACAGAAGTTGTACAACATGAGTTTATTATTTACACATAGAAAATAAGAAACAACAGAAGTCTAGCATTCAAGAGAAGCCATTCCCTCAAGTTTCAGGAAGCTGCTTAGGGCAGGTGGAATTGTGTCTGCACATGCTTCACCTGCGCTACAACTGAAGGCAACTAGAAAGCAGTGTACCCTGGGTTTTATAACCTGGAGGGCATTGGACACCCTGGGCTAAAACACTGAAGGATATGTTGTTTCTAAAGGAACACAGCTTGGGCTGTGCTGGTTAGTTCTTTCTCATCTCAGGATGTTGCATCGTCAGCATTATTCCACAGTTATTCTTGAGAACTGCAAATAAGAAGAGGAAAAGATAGAACTAGGTCAGACTCGGGCCACCTAGAAAATTGTCCTGAATTGTCTGTGAGCATACTTTGTATGGTTTTTATTATTTAAATTTGTTTGAGTGTGTTACATGGCCCAGAATTTGGTCTATCTTAGTGAATGTCTCATGTTGCAAAGAATGTGTTCTGCTATTTTGGATAAAGTATTTTATAAATGTCAATTAGATTCAGTTGACTGCTCCTGCTGTTCACTTTACCTATTTTCATACATTTTCTGCCTGCTGAATTTGTCAGTTACTGATAGAGTAACAAGCCTGCAAATATAGTCATAGATTTGTCTATTTTTCCTTGAAGTTCCATCAGGTTTTGCTTTACATATCTTGATGCTCTATTATTAAGTAGGTACACAATAATGATGGTTATGTCTTCTTGAAGAATTTACCTATTAATAATTATGCAATGCTCCTTTTGTCCCTTATGATTTGTTGTTTTATAAAGTCTGTTTTTTCTGAAAATAATATAGCTTTTCAAGCTTTCTTCTTATTAATATTGGCATGATATATCTATTTTTATAATTTATGAGATTGGAAAGCTAAATGGCACATAATTTTATGACATGCCTCCCTGTAGGTAAAATTAAGCTCTAGTAAAATAGCTTTCTGTTGGAGAGAAGGCCTTTGTTACATAGAACCCTCTGGAAATATTTCATAATGCTGCTTCTTCCCCCACTATCTATCAGAGCCACACACACACACATACAAATCATTTTTACTCTTCCTGGTACTATGCTGGTATGCTGGTGGGGTAGCTGAAGATAAAACCAAAAGAAGTACCTCCCCACTCACCCACAAGGCTATGGCCCCTAGAGTTTCTCTAATTGTTGGTTTATATTCAGCCTCACGGTTTTCACAATATTAGCATTTAAATATATGTTACAGTTCATGGCCCCAGCAACTTCTGTTTCAAATAAATAGATCTTGGCATAACTTTTATATTCACCTGTCTCTCCAGATTTCAGGATTGTAGTCTGCCCTGTAGGTCAATATTCTGATAAGTCCCATAGATTTCTTTTTGTTTTTGTTTTTCTTTTATTTTAGATTTTTAGGTTGTTATAAAAATTTGAAGTGATGATTTCTAATCTCATTACACGTTGATAATGAAAGTTGAAATTCAGCACACTAATTTTAACATTACTATTCTTAGGAAACACATCACATTATTCATATTTATGTGCAAGAACTATTAACATGGACTTATGTACCTACCGATTGGTCTGGAGGATATAGTCTCTATTTGGGCAAATACTTCCCAGTGACAATTCTGTAACAAGGAGCACAGATTTTGCTCATGTAATAGGTCTCTCAATCACTGAGTGTATGAAGAAACAGACAAAATCAACATTCAGAAAGCATCTTCTGAGTGTCAAACACTACAGTGGCTATTTCATACATGAAGTCTCATTTATTCACCTTTATCATTAAAAGAGATAACGTTATTGTCCCAGTGTAAGACACTGGATCAGAAAAATCAGTCAAATGCCCAAGGGTATACAGCTCAATTAGAAAGTGAACTGATATTTTAAACTAAGTATATATAATCACAAAGACCCCGTGCTTTCAAATAAAGTGGAGCTTGGTTAGTAATTTTATTGGAATTTTAATGTAAATATGATTACATATATAAAATTATTTGAGAAAAATTAAGCATTTGCACCAGACAATCTCCCAATCTCAGCACACTATATTTTTATTCATTTAGTTAAGTTGCTTCTGATATATTTGTCATTGTCTATGTGCAAAGTATATAACAGGCTCATCCCTGATTTTCTTAAGTCTGATCTCATTTGCTAAATCAAGATTATCACTGTAAGAGCTCCCATCCTCAACCAGCCTCCATCAGAATTCCAGAGCTCCCTTTTCTTTGTATTTGCATTCCCTTTACTTTGGCAAATAGTATTTTCTAAAAGCAGTGCCTCATTTTATTTATTTTTTTTGGTGTGCAGAAAAGTTGTTGAGACAATATTTTATCACCTTACCTATTACAGTTTTTGTGTGATGCCAGTCTTTTCTTATACAAGGATAGCGTCTGTATCTGTTTATTACATTTTGCCTTACTTTTTATTTTTATGTCCTCCTTTAATTTTTTTTCTTTCAAACCTGTGTCTACTGTAAAGAGTTAGAAATACGACATTAGTGAGCTTAATGAATACTTGGCAGATAAATGAATAAATTAATGAAACTAGATCATAGTGCATATATATTCACATATATTTAATAAATTAACAAATGCATATGTTAATATAAAATCCTGATTTCTCTTGTTATGTTATAACTGAAACTCATTCAATCCAGTTAGCAGATATGAAATACTACTATTCCGGATTGAAATCATCATGTTTTTTTCAGAATTCAAGGTAATACAGAGTTGAGATAAAAGAAATCTTAGGTACAGGTCACTATAGAAATGGTCATGGATTGAATATGAAAATAAATATACAATGTACCTCTGTTTAAATTTGTTAGTGTAGATCTCTAACTTAGAAGAAGACATTGCAGAATAGTATTATTCCACATCATATATATATATTATATACAGATGTGTGTGGGTGTATGGGTGGGGTCTGTGTGTGTGTGTGTCTGTTGTGGCATGGCCACTAAAGGCAATAGTGCATTTCAATGTAAATCATTCTGATTTACTAGTAACTAATGGACAGCTTTTAGATGGATAGGGCTATAAATGTTTGTAAACATTGGATTCCACAGAACGCTTTTCTTCAGGGAGCTGTTTCATGTTAATAAGCCTTATATTTTTGAATCTGCAATACCCTAAAGAGACACAAAGCAATAATGCCTTCATCAAAGCATAATGTAGAGCAGTTCATTCAGATAACTTAGTGTAAGGGGCTTTCTCCATATATACAATGCTGGAAAGAGCAAATAAAATAAATTAAATCTGAATGGAACACCAATTGTGCATGTTATGCATGTTGATGTAAGTACAGTGATATAATAAAACTGAATTATTATAACAGTGTAATGCATTAGGATACATTTACGTATAAGAGTACCATATACAAAGGGCAGTGGATTTATATTGCAAACATATGCTTTAGCCTTTGCCTTTCTAGTTACTGAATCTGCGCCTTAAGTTATATTACATAAATTCTAAAAGAGTCCATTTTCTTTATCTATAACTAATAATAACATATGTTTATGATTTAGTTCTCTTTCTCTAGATTATTTTAAATGGAAGTATTTTACATATAGAAATAAACCAGCAACTGTTGAAAATGCTGACTCCAGTTAAAGAGAAAAGTTAATGTAGAACTAAGACATATTCATAACTGGGAAAGTTAAAATAATGGTAGTCAATGAGATTTTCAACAGAAACATTGTAGAAAGAAAAGAGTAGAGTGCTAAGGGCAAAACTTGAAAATATTTATCCATTCTTTCTTCTCTTGAAATGTTGATTCATATATCCAAATCTTACTGACCATACCAATAAAAATACTAAACAGCTATCAAAAATATTAATTTAAAATATAATCAGAAGAGTGAAAGCATATTAAAATTAATGGAAACTTTCTATGAACCATTTAGATATTAAATTCTAGTCGGTTTCTGTGATCATGATTATGTGATTATGACCATTAACAATCTATTATCTCTAATTGTTTGAATAACTTAGCAGTGAAGATCCAAAGATTTTATCTTGATTTTCAGTTTTATTTTATACATTATTAATATCAAATTCCATTTATTTTTAAGAAAGATAAAAAAGCAAATGAATAAACCAAAATATACATTTATTTGATATTTGCTTAAATTGCATAGACTATTTTTTCACCATGATATAACTAACATATATTAAATACTTAATAAATTCTATATATTAAAGAATTTTAAACGCATACAAGTTAAGACTCATAAACATGTTTGATGTTAGTATTATTACTTTAAGTTTAGAGATTGATCTCCTTATAAATGATCACACAGTCACTAATTTAGATAGGCTTTAAATTCAGGCAGTTTGACCTCAGAGTCAGTATTCTTTATTTCTATACCATAGACCTCCCATATGCACAGTTTTTCATGAAAATACTATAAGAATTGTTACATGCACATGCACACATATTTATTTAGAAATTAATTTCTAGATATCTATAATATACCTGTGTGTCAAAGTCAAAAATATTTTTGTCAGAATTCAAGAACTTATGCAATTTATAAACTTAGTTTCTCTTACTCTTTCTCCCTCAATTATTTAAATTAAAAAAAACTTTAGATTCAAAGTTAAGATAGTATAGGATGTTCTGTCATAAATAAATTTTATTTTAATTCCATTCTTCTCTTACATTTTTGCAGCTCTTCTTAAAATTTTGTATTTTAGTAGTCTTTTTTCTTTCTATGCTACAATGGAGGTAGAATACCATTAACTGTTTAATTGCAAGTTATAGTTGCTTTTTTCTATATTTTCCTATTGTATACATTAGATTGTTGTCTTTGATTTGACTAAAGATAAAGGTGCAGAGAAGATAACAATGGAAAATATTTGTAGTTATAATGGCTTCTAGAAATAGCTTCACTGTATGCTATTTTGATATAAGCAATGCTAAAAATAGTTTACCAAATTCTGGTTTCTTCTGGTCTTTCATTCTTGACTTGAAGGAAAACCAGCAAGGAAATCAACTCACCCTTACCAAAGATGAGGTACAACAATGGGACAATGGGGAAAGAAGGAAATAAACTACAGAAGAAGAAAGAGAAGAGATCAAGGAAGAAAAAGAGAAGTGGAGAAGAAGAGAAAGTAGAGGAGGAGGAGGAGAAAATGAAAGAGTGGTAACAAGAATATGGTTAAAGTAATTTTTCATGTTTAATCAGAAATTCACTGATCTTGTTCTATATAATAAAATAACTTAATTATCTATTTTACTTTTTAGTCTCTTATAAATAAATATTATAAATATTCCTTCCTTTCTCTAGCTACTAAGTTCATATCTCTCATCAGTAACTTTCATTCACTAAAACTTATTTAAAACCAGATGTCAAAGGGAATAAGTTGACAAAACCATGCCCCTGCAAGAAAGGGTAGATCAGAGTATGGTGTAAATTACATTGAGAGTGAAAAGTGGAGTCAATGCTATATCCTTTGTTCCAAAGGTTTTTGTTTTGTTTTAATTAAACCATATGCTTTATTATGTATAAATACCATATAACTATATGTATATTCCTAATTATCCTAACTTTAGAGAAACTAGTAAATAATTACAGCTGATTTTTTGTCTGAAATTATACAAATAAGAAAACAATAGGGTAAAGTGTTCAAAGAAAATAACCAGCCACCTAGAATTTTATAGCCAGTAATATTATCCTTCAAAAATGAGGAGAAAAAAATACTTCCTCAGAACAGAGAAAATATAGTATCAGCAGAAATTTCTTTTAAAAATGTTGTAAAATCTTCTTCAGAAAGGAGAAAAATAACATAGGTCAGAAACTTAGATCTACACAAAGAGCATCAGAGAGGGAATCTATAGGGATAAAGTATATTTTAAGCTTTATTTTAATTTATCTAACAAATAACTTTGTTCAAAGTAATAAGGATAACAGTGTACTGGGTAATTATAACCTATGGATAAGCGAAATGAATTAAAACAGTGATATCTATATGAGAGGGAGAAATTTATAACACTCAAAGGTACCTACATTATATGTGAAATGGTGTAGTGATATTTGAAGTTAGAGTACATTAGTTAAAAACATATATTGAAGACTGTAGGATAACCATTAAAGATAATAAAGTAAGATATAGTTAATATGCCCATAGATGAGAGAAAAATTCAGTGATCTAAAATGCTGAATAAAAACAACAAAAAAGGCTGAACAAAGGGGAATAAGTAAAAAGAAACAAAGTGCAATAAGTAGGACAAGATTACAAACAAGGACTAAGAAATGTTTAACTCAACTATATTAGCAGTAACTGTAAATGGGAACAGTAGTAATACACTAATTCTAAGGTAGAGACAGTCAGGATGTTTATAGAAACAAGTCCTCACTGTATGTTGTATACAAGAAATAAATATAGAACCAAATAGTTTGAAGGAAAGATGGGAAAGGTATACCATGCTAACATCAGTGAAAAAAAAATACTGCGGTTACTATTTTAATTTCAGACCAAGCAGAATTTCAAATAAAAATTTTTTTTCAGGACTAATAAAGGGACACCACATAACAATAAAGGGGTCATTCCTCAAGAAGATATAACAAATCCTAAACTTGTATGCATCTAACAACACAGTGTCAACCTACAAGAGGCAGTAACTCACATCAAAAAAATTACTGACTTTAACATTTCTCTTTCAATAATTTATAAATCAAACAGGCGTAAATCAATAAAGATGTAGTGATAGTGAATAGCACTATCAACCAACTTTGTCTAACTGATATTGATAGAATACTCCATCCTCAACACTAGCAGAATATTTACTCATCTCAAACTCATATAGAACATTCACCAAGATACTATTATATGATGTAGAAGGTCACAGGACACAAGGCTAATATGTAAAAATCATTTTGCATTTTATATCTTACTAAAAAATGGGAATTTAAAATTTAAAAGTGTTTCCACAGTGGCTGAACTAATTTACATCATGAACTTAAACTCACCAACAGTGTACTAGTGTCCCTTTTGGTCTACAACTTCACCAACACCTGTTATTTTCTGACTTTTTTACAAGTTATTCTAACTTGTGTGAAATAGTATCTCATTGTGGCTTTAATTTGCCTTTATCTGATGATTAGCGATTATGAGAAATGTTTCATATGTTTGTTGACTGCTTGTATGTCTTCTTTAGAGAAGTATATATTCAAATCTTTTTGCTTATTTTTTAATGAGGTGATTTGTTTTATGCTTGTTGAATTGTGTAAGTTCCTTATAGATTCTGGATATTAGACCTTTGCTGGATACATAGTTTGGGAATATTATCTTTCATTCTATAGGTTTTATGGAGATTTCTCAAATAACTAAGATTTGAGCTATCATTTGACCCAGAAATCCCATTACTGGGTATATACTCAAAGTAAAATAAATTGTTCTACCCAAAGGACATGTGCACCCATATGTTCATTGCAGCACTACTCACAGTAGCAAAAACTTGG